TTTTAATAGGTCTTTAAGAAATTTCGTTAATCGGTAGAAGGTTGACGATATCTTAGGCAAAAATCCTAATTTGGTCAACATACTTTTTTAGTGGTGCCGGAGTGTTTAACCAAAGTTTATTATTTAGTTAAGGGACCCAGTGGACATCGGACCAAAAAAAGACGTGTTTTGAACGTTTAAAAGACGTCCAAAACGTTTAAAAGACGCTCAAAAGACGTCCAAAGCATATATACGTTTAAAAGACATCTTTTTTACGTCCGTGTCCACTGGGGAGGTTTAGCAAACTAAACTAAGAGTTTTCTCCTACTAATTATGTATTTTCTCTCCAACTGTGCAATACTTTGTGGTTTTTATAGCTTAATTTTAAGAGCTTCAAAGAAATTTAATTTTGTTTTAATGTCGGAAGAGGTTAGGCACTGCTTTTTAAGAAGAACATTCATCTTCTTTCACTCTGCAAAGAAATATCTTGGTCTAAAGGATCAAGTGGAAACAAGATTTCATCAAATGTGATTCCATCAAAACATTTGTGGCACCAATTTCATTTAAATTGTTTCAGAATGAACATTTTGTTCTGCGCATTTTCTATATTTCGTCATTTGCTAAAAGGTTTTTTATATCTTGGAAAGGCGCAGTCTTATATACATAAGATTGAGAAGTTTTTAAAAATTGTACAGAATAAAAGATTGAGATAAATTCGGCGATTGTCTGCACTTCTTTCCTTTGATTATCTGCCAGTTCATAAGAGAGTTGCAAATTCAATATACAAATATAATAGATAGTCTTGGACATAAAAAGTGCATGAGAAACACACCCTAGAGTTTGAATTTGAAAAACTCATTCAGCACATAAGTAAATAAGAGTTAGTTTCAATAGCTCTTTGTAATCTTAGGATAATTCGTAATCCTAAGATTACAAAGATCCTCTCAGGGTAATTCTTTTTTAAGAGCCATCTTTAAAAATTTTACAGTATCGAGTGTAGGGGTTAGCAACAGATTGGGTATTGTATTTAACAAACTTTGAAAAGTTGAAATGCTTTTAATGTCATTTTAGTTTGTTTTATACTTGAGTTTTAAATTTTTCACTGCAAAGTTTTTCACAGAAATCTTTTAGATGTAACTCATAAATATGTATCTTGCAAGCCAGCTCTTGTAAAATTGAGTTATGTTTATGACATTGGTACCAGAAAGTCTTCCTGTATTTGTATCAGTTGTATTAAAACATAAACTTTTCACATCATTACAAACTTCATATTCTTTCAGTATTATAAATACTTCATCATATTGAGTTTGTCTAGTAGTACGATCAATAGTTATAATTCTAAGCAGTTTCAGTTTCAATTTTAAACATCTACTTGGTTACTGGTGGTAATTTAAAACTTTTATTGAAACATATTGTTCAGTATTTTCCCAAATTTCTTTTGATTTAAAAATTTGAATAGATTTCTTTTTGGATTTTTTTTTGCTTACTATGAAGAACCCGATGTTTCTAGGAATAAACATTAAAACATTCAAAATACCATAGTATACCTAAGTATAATATACCACAGTATAAAAACCTCGCAAGGTTGATACTATATTCATTTCCTGACGAGAATCTGGTATGATTCAACACTAGTATAGTTTTATACTCTTTATTCTTTAGGATATTTTGCGCGTACTTATCTTCATTATAATATTATATGGGCCTGTTTTCATTACTTACTTATACACTTTTATTGTATTGTTTGTGTGTGGTTGTTGGCTAGGTATAATAAGTTATAAAACTTTATTATTATATTAATTGATTCATTACAATACCTTTTTATTTTATTTTTTATAACACTTTTATTATTCTCGCCTTACGTAGACTAATAAATAAATAATATGGATGGTCTGAAGTTATCATAACTCCCTAAATCAGCATGACATTTTTGGTCACCATGACGTCAGTAATAGCTGTACGGATGTAATAGCTGACAAATTAAATCAATTTTTTGTATCAGTTGGTCCTAATTGGCCTAAAAAATCTTGAAAAACAAAATGAATAATTTTTTTCCAATAACTTCGTTCTTAATTTCCTTTGAGGTATCCTTTGAGGAATTTGAACTTTCTTTTAAAAAGCTTAAATTTAATAAATCAGTTGGTCAAGTTGATATTTATTGCAATGTTATTATCGACTTGTACAAAGTCATTAAAGATATTCTTTTTCAAGTTTTACAATGTTCAATAAAGCAAGGTATTTTTCCCGACAATCTAAAATAGCCAGAGTTTCACCAATATTTAAAGTGGGTAATGCAATCAATGTTTCAAACTATCGCTCAATCTCAATTTTGCCTGTTTTTTCTAAAATTTTAGAGAGAATTTTATATAATTTTCAATCATTTATCTTCAAATAATATACTGTATCAAAATCAATACGGATTTAAAAAAAGTAATTCAACCGAACACACTATACACCAAATTACTCGCAATATTGCTGAATCTTTTCTCGATATACGTTAGGTGTTTTCATCTATTTATCAAAAGCCTTTGATACCATTGACCAAAAAATTCTATTTAAAAAACATAGTATTATGGAATTAAAGCAAATATTTTAATGATATTTAAAAGTTATTTAAGCAACCGTAAACACTTTATTTACAGTAATACAACTGTTTCTTCCAATTTATAAGATATAACATGTGGGGTCCCCAAAGTTCTATACTAGAACCTCTTCTCTTTCTAACTTACAATAATGATCTCCCTAAAGCTTCAAATTTAACGACGGTCATGTTTGACAATGATACTAATGTCTTTTTATCTCATACCAACATAACAACATTATTCCAAAATATGAACATTGAATCAACAAAAAGATTCTGACTTGTTTAAAATGAATAAGCTGTCACTAAATGGTGAGAAAACTAAATGGATACTTTTTTATCCAACTTAAAAAAAAAAGCTACTGCCTCCTGTCCTTTACTTTTTACTCACAAAATTAAAATAAAAAAAGAATTAACTTTTTAGGAATCAATACTGATGAAAACCTTGGAAGTATCACATTGATTTGTTGTGCAACAAAGTTGCTCGAAATATAGGAGTAAATTACAAAGCTAGATATGCTTTAAATAAACTCAGTTTAACACAATTATATTTCTCTTTAATCCATTGCCATATAAATTACTCAAATATTTCCTGGGCTAATACCAATGAATCTAAACTGCTAACACGAATGAATCTAAGCTGCTGCTTCTTTATCGTCAGTAAAAACATGTTGCTCGTCATCAATTATAAAGATTGATTTGCTCATGTCAAACCATTATTATTTCAAATGAAAATTCATTTGTCAGCTGAATATTTTTAATATACTTTGTTTTATGTACTAATGTAAAACCAACGCATCATCTGTTTCTTTTCATAATCTATATACCTTAAAAGATAAAAATAAATATAACTTAAGAAACGATAATCTAGTTCGACAACCTTTATCTCTAACTAATTTTGGAAAGTCTACTTTCTAAGTACTTTTTAAAATATTTTTGTATTTATATATAAAAGAATCAAGAATTTCTTTATACCAACTTTATTTACATGTTCTTACGAAATTTATGTTCTCGCTAATTATTACTAATTATTACTACGACATCGTTTTATTTTTATTTCATGTTAATTTAATGTACTTAATATTCGCGAGTCGTTCTCGATGATAAGACCTGAAGGCCTTCTGAGTCTCCGCGTACTTTTTTTTTTGTTTTTATTTTTATACCTGTATATTTTCTTATATCTTTTTATTGAATAACGATTTTTATCTTAACTATCTTATTGTATAAATTTTTTGCGTATTTAAGAAAAGAAAAAAAAAATCCATATAAGTTTAATTTTTAAATAAAATACACAGGTTAACAATTTTTATGTTTTATGGAAAAATGAGATTTTATTAAGATAAAAAATATCTAACTTGTACAAGCGCGGAAACAAGGACGCTAGACCGATAATGATGATTATGATGACGAACTAAATTAAAACCTTACCTTAATTATGAGAGATATAAATATTTAAAATTACTTATAGTAATTTAATTAAAAAATAAACATACTATTATCATTAAACTTTTTTTATATCATACCATTAAACTTTTTCAGATTTGTAAAAAAATTATCTAAGTTTTTGATTTGAATGATATTACAGACAATATTGCAAAAAATATTTATTTGGAAATAAAGTTTGATTTATTGCTCTTTATTTAACAGGGTTTTACTGAGTCATCTTGATTTATGCTTTAATAGTAGCCAGCCATGTTTGTCCCAACGTTCTTGGTAACGATCTTTAATTGTCTTCAGATCTTGATAGACATTTTCTGATGAAATTAAAAATCTGTCGATAAATTTTCTCTAATTTATGATACTTAAAAATCCTTTTTATGATCTTATAAAACGTCGGATAGGAACCATTAGGGGTTGAGTTAGCTCTAATTACCTAAACTTTTTGCAAGTCGTCCTCATTTGATACCAGTAACAACATATTAGAAGTACTAAGTACCAGCATCAACAAACTATAAATTTGAGTATGTCACACGGCTCTTAGTTACCTATCTTGAACAACAAAAATAACTAAGCATTCGCCTAAAATACGTAATTTCTCCCTAAACTGAAAAAATATTATGCATTATATTTTTGAAGTTAGGAAGAATCTTCTAATAATTAACAAAAAAAAAAAAAAAATCTGGGAGGATGTTTTGCAAGGTTTTATATCATGTTTCTATGCACCGCGCAATGCGTTTTTATCTAGACGTGTTTTATTCGTCTATAGACATCTAGAATGCGTCTTTTATTTACTGGGTAATAAATCTTATTAAGAATGATGCGAGTTATTATATTCATAGTAACTCACATTATTCTTAATAATTTGAGGTTGATGATGATGCACCCAGTGGGCACCGGACCAAAAAAAGACGTCTTTTGAACGTTCAACGTGCCCACTGGGTAGTCTATTGAGGTCGTGCCCACTGGGTAGTCTATTGAGATCGTTTATAAATTACAAAAATTGGTAATTGAAAAATCTTTCCTAAACAACTTTAAAAAATGACAAAGTTTTAAAAACAACCATTTAAATAGAAATGTGCATAAAAATTAAAAATTAATTTGTCAACATCAAAATAAAATAAAAATATTAAAGCGACAGAACAAAACTTCTAAAAATTAAGACGATTATCTTCAATGATCAATCTTCGAAGAAATATTGAGCAAATCTCATCTTTGGTTGGACTCTAAAAATCTCAACTTCGGTTGGCCTCTAAAAAGAATAAAAAATTTTCAACAACAACAACTATGAAAGTCCAATTCATCAGAGATCACCATTTAAATTATCTTAAAATGTCCATTTAGAATTTTTTTTTATAAAGTTAAAAAAACTAAACACTTTCAGTCAATAAACAATAAAATATAATAATAGTGACGCAGCTATTTAGTTTTCTTATTTCTTATTTACAAAATCTTGTTGACTTTTTTTGTTGTTGTTGTGACGCTCACTATGCTTTTTTTATCGGTAATAACACTAAAAAACACCTAAATGATCTTGCTTAGTCCGAGGTCTCAAAATATCAGAGCAAGACATCTTCGGCACAAAATCTTTTAACTGAAAAGTTATCAAAAACATTTTATGGTTTCAAACAAATATATAAAAAAAATGTAGTTATGTATCATATATGATTTTCTATTAAATTTTTGTCAGATTAATAATAAATAATTTATGTTGCTGACAAGAAATACCTCTATCATACTCGGATAATTCCTGTACCAAAAATGGAATAGCAGATCTTTGCCGCTTTTGTCATTAAACCCCTTTATAAAGTGGTATAAACTATTTTGTGTGCCAATATATATATATATATATATATATATATATATATATATATATATATATATATATATATATATATATATATATATATATATATATATATATATATATATATATATATATATATATATATATATATATATATATATATATATATATATATATATATATATGTATAAAGAACATACATAAGCAGGGGCGGATACAGGATTTTTTGAAGTTTGAGATAACTAACTTCCAGACATGGGGCGAACTCAAAACTTTTATATGTTTATAGTTATATCAAATAAGGATACTTTGCATAAAATTGAGATGATAGGAGCCTGGGAACAAAAAAGCCCCAAAATTTTTGCTACACCTGCCCTAAACGTGAGAGCAACAAGTTGATAAAATAATTTTTTTACTATTCTCAACTAAATCTATATTCATCGAGAATTTTTAAAATTCATACAATAATCTCTTAACGTTCAAAAGTTATAGCCACATAAGATTTGAATCCCCCTCAATTTGAGGGGGTTACAAATTTTATAAGACCATTATTATTGAACGCTAAAAGATTGTTTTACAAAATTAAAAATTTCTCGATGAATATAGATTTAGTTGAGAAAAGTAAAAAACTTATTTTATCAACTTGTTGCTCTCACGTTTGGGGCAGATGTAGCAAAAATTTTGGGGCTTTTTTTGTTCCCAGGCTCCTATCATCTCAATTTTTTGCAAAGTATCCATATTTGATATGACTATAAACATATAAAAGTTTCGAGTTTGCTCCATGTCTGGAAGTTAGTTATTTCAAACTTCAAAAAATCCTGTATCCGCCCCTGATAAGTGTGTGGAGAATATAGATATAAAGGATATGAATATAGATGGAACTATTAGGAACATACATAGAATTTATAACATATTTTATATAATAATAGTTTTAATGCTTCTCCATCTTTTATTTCTACAACAAATAAAGTTCGTTAAAAATGAAATTAGAGTGCGTTGTACAAAAAGCCTGATCCTTTTTGAAAACTATATTTTAAATTTTGATTTGGCCTTTATTACTTTTAAAAGTTTAATTGTCTTTTCACTTTTAAAATCTCTTAAAATCATTTACCTATTACCAAATATTTAATTTTTAATTTTTTACCAACATTAATTCCAAGCTGCTTATTACTTATCCCAAGACCTTATTAAAATGTTTTTTGCAAAACTTAAGGTTCTACTTTTACTATAAATTAGTATGGAATAAAAAGAAGTTTAAATTTAGCAGTAAAAATTTTTTTTAACCAAGTCCAAGAAGTTTTGATAAAATGTTGAGGAACTTTGGTGCCAAATTAACAAACAGGGATTTATTAAAAATTAACAAAAATTAACAAACAGGGATTTATTAAAAATTAACAAAAATTAACAAACAGGGATTTATTAAAAATTAACAAAAATTAACAAACAGGGATTTAAAAAAATTTCTCTACAAATCAGAGTAAAAAATGCTTTGTACTAAAATTTTAAATTTTATAGATTTTTTAGAGCATTCTTGCAGCCTTTAAATTGAATTGTTTTTTGATGAATGAATTTGTAATAGGTTACTAAGATTATTTTTTTATATATATATTTATTTTTTTTAATAGCGGTAGTGGTGTAGTGGTAAGAGCGGTAGTGGCAAATGCGGTAGTGGTGTAGTGGTAAGCGCGCTCGCTTGATAAGCGAGAGGTTCCTGAAAGTACCGTGTCCCTGAAAGTACCGCATGTCCCTGAAAGTACCGCGCTCAACTTAATTTCTCCGCGCAATTTCGGCCTTGCTTGTTAAGGTTCGATTTACAAAATCGAACCTTAACAAGCAAGAAGGTTCGATTTTGTAAATCGAACTTCCTTGCTTGTTAAGGTTGTTAAGGAGGCTACTTTTTTTTTTTTTTGTAAAGATTTACAAAAAAAAAAAAAAAAAAAAAAAAAAGTAGTCTCCTCGACTGTAGTGGCTCCCTCGGGCCTTGGCGAGGTGAATAATTTAAAAAAAAAAAATTCAACAACATCAAAGTTTGAGAAAAAAAGAGGACGGATCCTGCCACAAGCAAACTTGAATCTCCATAAGGAAAAAGAATCCAGGCTACTCTAGAATAAAGAAAGTTTTTTTGTGAGAACTGTAATGTTTGTTTATGCTTTACATGCAACTATCACAAAATGTTTTATGAGTAATATATGAGAATTAAAAAACTTTAACATACATATTATTTACTGAAACAATGAGAATACAAGCCCAAAAACTTACTACTTTTGCATTGTTATTTTGTTTGTTGTTGTTAGCAACTTTAATGTGTTAGCGAAACAACTAGCATTTCAACATTTTAGGACAAAAATGAGTTTAGCAATCGGAATTGTGTTATCTAAGGGTAGATACAAGCATAAAAAATCACATTCGTCAGGGCTTTCATTATGCCTTAGATTCTTAGATTGTGAGCTTGAGTTATAGTTAATTTCAGAAACACCTTAAGTCACTGACTTATGGTGTTTCTCTATGGAGCAGCTAACGAAGCCCAATCTAGCATCATAATCAGCGCAAATAGAAGTTAAAATGATTACACAACCAATTTCCTTTTGAATAATTACTTGCAATATTTATTTATCTTTTTTTATTTATTTGTTTATTTGATATTTTGATATTGATATTATGAATTTATTTGTTTATTTGTTTATTTGATAATCATTAACAATTACAACACCAGGAATTCCCTTTGGACAAATGGTTGTAAAAATATCTTTAGAAAATCAATAATGATTGCAAAACAATAATTGTTTTGGGAATTATTCCCTCAGAGATTAATTCAGTACAAAGAAATCTCACATGTATGCAACAAAAGCTGTAGTTTAATATAGTTGAATAGTTAATAGTTAAAATTTGAATCAGTTGATTTATGAGTTTTTCAGCTTTTAACTGATTTAACACTGATTTAAGTCTGATTTAAAGTCTGAAACTGATTTAAGTCTGATAACAAAACACATACCCACAAAAAAAAGGAAAATAGGAGTAATAAATAAGTCTATCTACAAATGTGAAATAATAAAGAAAGCTCGCATCGATGGAAGCCCCTACAAAAACTAAGCTGGGAATATACCTGAAAGAAAAACTTGTTGAAGATTACAAGTAAGTAAATACTTTTTTTTGTTTTTACTGTTAGTTATTTAATAGATTTGTAATACTTTTAACGTTCTAACAGCTGAGTCTTTTGATAAAATATGTAAAAATTAAAGCAACAAAATTTGTAGGCATACATACCTTAAAATATAGTTTCTAAAATACTAGGGTTATAGGTCTACAAAGGAAGTCTACCTAGTATAATCTAAATAAGCTAAATTTTGTATGACCTAACTTAACCTAGAGTAAATCCTATTTTATCTATTCCTAACTGAAATAATATAATCCTTTTTCGTTGTCTTTGAATTTCTTGAAGTACGCTTTACTAACTTATTTTCTTTTGCTTTTTTAAGGTGCAAAAGAAAGCGTTTTGAAGTATTTGGAGAAAATGAACAACTAAGGGTATTCAACAAGTTTATTAGTCCCAAAAAAAAACCCAAATAAGACTGCTATCTGGAGTCGTTGATGAGTACTGCTAAGCTTAAGCAAAGAGAAGGTGTAAGCCCTTTAATGAGTCTTCAAAACCAGAACGAGGTGTAACATTTTTTAATGAA